CGCATAGATCAAATTATTTTGGCTCATTGAATCCCTGAAGCCTTCTATGCGACCGCATAGAAGGTTACACTATGCGGTCGCATAGAAGTAACCATCTATGTGGTTTGTTCAATTTGGTCCCTGAACTTCTTTGTTGCTTCTCTTGACTTCTTTCTTCGATTTCTTCATCTTTTCAACAATTCTTATCTTCCAATTGATGATCGACACTTTCAAATATTATGCCACTCATTCGGCACATCTTTTGAGTATTTGCACTTTAGTCCTCCAACTTCCAATTATCTTTATTTTAGTCCATCTTCCATTCTTTCTTCCTCCACTTGTTTTGCTTTGTCATTGAGCTCATACTTGGCATGTTTTTACTCTCGTTTTGCATTTAGCTCAACTTTTCAATATTTGCACCTTTGGTCCTCGAACTATCAAATTGTTGCGTTTTGGTCCTTCTTCGGCTCTTTTCTCCTGCATTCCACAATTTCCATTGAATTACCTACAATGCATGAATTTAACTGGATTAAGTCACAATTCAACCATTTTATCCATGTTTAAGTCATGTTTGTGAACCAAATAAGTGTGTAAAAACACACTTATCAAATCCCCCAAACTTAAACTATTGTTTGTCCTCAAACAATGTAGTGACTCAGAGTTAAACAAACATGGCTTAATAGCTTGCCGTGTCTTAGGATTGGAACTTAGCAATACACTAGAACAATATCAATATTGCAAGAATAAAATTAACCTTCACTCGTTAAATGCAATACTCAACGTGTGTGTGTGGACTCATGCCAACATATCAAGCTTATGAATGGTTTGTTCCCGACCCATAATGGTCAAATTTATCCTTACATCACTCGAGAGATACACAAATCCCCCAAACTTATTCTTTTCACTCAATTATCTTGGGGTGTTTTCTAAGGTTAGGAGTTTAACAACTATAATCCTTACCCTCTCTTAGTTTGGATAGATCTTACCCTTACTAGTACACATATCAACAAGTAGAGACTGTCCTTAATTTGATTGTTTCAACCTTTAAGCTCAAACTAAGCTACTCACCTCGCATCAAGGTTAAAGTCATATCAACCAAACGTCCAACACAATTTTTTTTTCTCCATCTTCTCATTTGCTTTCTATATAACCCATGAAATGAGTTTTAGGCGATGACTCCCAAACCAGTTGGTCTTAGGGCACCAGGTTTTAAACCCTTGCAGCCTTATTCACCCGAGTTATAAAGGCTCGATAAGATGAATTTTTGTCAACTTCTCCTTTTTCTTGCTTTCTATATGACCCCTGTAACGAGCTTTAGGCCGATAATTCCCAAACCAGTTGGCTTTAGGATATCAGGTTTTAAACCCTAACAGACTTACTTGCTCGAGTCATAAAGGCTTTTGAGAGAAGTGATGATTTTCCCATGTTTATTTTATAGACATTTGATATCAACAACCATCCTCAACTTAAAGCTTTCACCTATTTCTCACCTTTTGGGTCTAGGCAATCCACACAATATAAATTCATGCACTGAGCCTCTACTTATCTCCATGTTTACTTATAGTGGCTCAACCATCTCCAAACTATCCTATGGTGATTTAACGGGTTAATGATATAGAGGGTTAACCTATGTTTCTCCTGT